GTGTGTGTGTGTGTGTGTGTGTGTGTGTGTGTGTGTGTGTGTGTGTGCGTCATAAAGGCTGCCACAGGCACACACAGACCCAATGGTGCATGAGACAGATGTACAGCACACCTGGCCACAAGCTTACTGCAAAAATTAAAATGATGCAAGAGCAGAGGAAAAACAAAGAGTAAAATATTGTTATCTAGATATAATTTATGTGTAAAACCCAAACACGCACACAGCAATGTGCAGACTACATTCGGAGTGCACCATCCTGCTGCAAGCTGATGTCATTGTACACCACAGACTGTGAATCAATAGGTCTTTCCAGCTTTCCAGAGCACAGGATGTAGATTTCACACCAACCAGTGATCAGTTGTTCACTCAGCTGTTTGGTGCTGCAGCAGCGTCGTTCCAGCCCTGTTGTAAATATCCCTGTTCCACTGGAGCTATGATTACGTCTAACAGCGCTGCAAGGACTGAGTCATCAACTCAACACTTGTTTGAGCAACAGCCTGTTGCTCATAAAATGTGATAAAGACAAGCAAAGATACAAGTACTCATGTAGTACTTAGCCTTGAATATTAAAAGGGTTGGTGATAGGACTGCCGGCATTTTGGCTTCTGTTCTGTCAAGCTTCTTATTTATATTAGTGCAATAAAATTAAATAAATGTATGTGATTAGTAATATTATTCTATTAAACCTATAAAACAACCATTATTAAGCAATATGGGATATAATTTAGATAGCAAAAACATTAATGGGATTTTGTTTTTAAAAGGTGCATAAACACATTTGTTTGTGTTTTACTCGAGCCTATCACACCATCAGAATCTCATACTGGCCCATGTGTAACTGTCAAAACTACAGCACTCTTAATAAGACAGGGAGATCTTTACAGTTTCAGGAGAGACTAAATTTAAATTTTCTGCCATACTAGAGACTCCAAGTACACAACAAACTGCATTTAATGGCTAAAAAGGTGATTTTTGCTGGATGTCTTTTTTAAAACAAAGGGAACACAAAACACAAAAAACATGAAAGTATCCTTTTTGAAAACGTGCAGCTACAATGATTCACATGGGTATTTTTGTTTTTGTTTTGCCCAGTAAAAGCAACTTTATATTGCAGTATTTTTCATTAGTACTCTTGTTTTCAATGCAGTCATCAAAAAGTGGATTACACAAAGGCAAGCAATCATTAAAATAAATGTGTTTTTGTGTGAATACATTGAAAAAAAATAAGACAGGGAGACAAAACAACAGATAAACCTCAAACAAAAAGTCACTGTAAAATCTATTTGTCATAAGTATAAGTGTACACAGGTCCATTTTAATGTAGCCCTGTAGACACAGGGCTTTATGAAACTATAGCAATTTATATTTGCTTCAGTCTCACTTCCAATTTTGACGAGTGCATTTTGATCTCAGAAACCGTGAAAGTTAACTTTAAGTTAAGTTTGGTAGATAATTTTTGTTGTAGCAATGCTTCATGGCATTAAATATTGGTGGTATAAGAAGCTCAAAACAGTCAACAACAGAAAAATAAACTGTTTGCCGGAGAATATTTGGCATTTTTATGTGCATAACCCTCATACTCAGTTGCTCATCCTACAAATGCACGTTCCTTACAAATGTGGCACCATTAATAAGGGAAAGTAACAGGCTTCCCAACGGTAAAAGATTTATTGCCAAGAAGAATTGTTAAAACAAAGAAACAATGTACCAAATACAATTTTCCTAAGTTTATCTATGACTTGTTTAAACTGGACAATGTTTCTGCTGTGAGGAGCTCCAAAGAGAGCTGTGGTTTCTCACTCATTTTACAAAAGCCTATAGTCTATGTGGAAATAATATTTCTTTTTGATGATTTCTTCTCCAGCAGATGATGGTCTGCTACCAAAAGTCATAACACACTATTCCCAATTTGGTTTCGTGTATCGATGTATTTTGGGATAAGAAGAGTAGTGAATCGTACCGACAGAAACACAAGAACTATTGACCATTAAGGGTGCTTCAGTGCCAACACACTGACACCCTTAATAATGTTGATTTGTTTATAAAGAAAGGTTAAGGGGTATATGCTGAACAGTCTCCGGTGGAGATACTTTATAAAGACAATAAAGATATTAGACAAAATCATCAATGTAATATTTTGGCAAAACTTCATCTGTTGAGTTGGTTTAATATGATCATGTTTGCAAATATTTGCCTGCTTTTCAAAATTTTGCATGGTCTTCGACCTCCTCCACTTGAAGCACTTGTCTGTAAGGACCACCAGAGCTACAGTGAGAGGGGACCTTGCTTAGATGTAGCACGTTCAATCAGAACTCATTTTTCATGAAAGCGTCTCATGCCTGAAATAAAATACCAGAAAGCATAAGTATGGGTCTTTTAAATCATTAGCTATGTTTACATGGACGTAAGTAATTGGAATAAACAGTCAAAAGGAATAAAAATGAGTCATGTAAATGCCCCAATCTGAATCTTCTGATGTGATTCAGCTCGAGAGGGGTGGTTTATGCTAGGGGTGCACAGAAAAATCAGCCGAACGACATATTAGCATAGATTTCCTTAATTTTGGGAGATCAGTTTGCCCATTACTACCTAAAACAAGTTTGTATTGTTTCAAGGGTATAGATCAATGTTTTTCAATAAAATAAAATGGGAATAATGAAGGTGTATTGTGACCTTATAACACTTGACATTGTCAGTTGTTTAAAAAATTGGTATCGGTCAGAATCAGCAAGTCAGACATTTTAAAGATCAGTGATCGGTCAGAAAACTGCAACCACTGCACCCCAGTTTATGCTGATTGATAATCTGAATGGCGTGCATGTAAACACTTATTCTGATCATTTTATCCTGGTTGTGGAACACTGACCTGACTGCGGATGTGTGCCCTATTACGACATGTATTTCCACCTAGCTAGATCCTAATAGTACCGGTTAGCGTTACAATATTTCTATTAGAAACTTTGAAAGAACTCAAAATTATCGAATGCCTTGATGGTGGAAAGTGTGGGAATGAAAACTTGGAGGAAGAACACATGGAACACATGTTTACGGTCATCCCGAAAAAAACTTGTTTGTTTGTTTGTTTGTTTGTTTGTTTGTTGAAGAGAAAGTTTACAACTGCAAGGTGCACGGAAACACGTCATGATTGGATTAATTTATTTTGTGCCCATATAAACAATACATTTGGATTATTTAATCCAAATACATTTTAATTCAATCAAAGAATTTTTTGCATGTAAACATATATTTAATACCCTAAAATCATGGCTCCTGGATAATCAATTATGTAGCCGATGAATATGAGATTCTTATTTCCATTCTACATTTTTAATGTATTGTTTATATTGTAATAAATTGCTATTGTGGTGTTATATACCTTTTTATTCCTTTTAAACACTTGATATGTTTTTAGCTATTTTTATGGAAGAATCATGTTACTTTGTATGTAATATATATATA